GATGATTTACAGATAACTATCATGTGAAATTTATTAGAATCTTTGTTGCAATACTTAATTCTTTTCCATTTAATAGAAGCAGGTCTTGTCAACCGGCAATGGGCTAATATTTTCTTTTTAGGTAATTGATATTTGAGTTGATTACAGGCTTAAGCAAATGATGATGTATTATGGCGAGCAGTTCTTATAAACATAGACCTGGAAGTTTTCAAGTTGCGGTTTGATTGCATTTTTGCTATTAGCAGATGGTAATGTATGTAGAAACTGCAGGTACATGCTTAGTCAAGAAGGTCAGGAAGCTGCACGTGAATGTCTCATGAGGTCTGGTATGGAAAACCCCATTGAAAAAACTGCTAATGCCAAAGTGCTTTCTGTTCTGGATGTGGACAATATTTCACATCAGGAGCTTGCTCATCCTGACTCAGCCACAGAAATAATATTGTTATCCACTACTGTGAGTAGGAAGAAGAAATCATTTGATATTCCACAGCTGTACATTGAGAAGGTATGTGTCTAACTAGCTTTATAATTTTATCTTGACTTGTGGACTAGGAATAATATTCAGTTTCAATCTTCATTGATTTATTATAATTGCTGAACACCCTCCTTTCCAAGATTAAACTTTTAATTAAAGCGTTTGGTCTTGGTTGCTCAGTTCAGTTTAGACCTTCCCTCTGATTTGGGCTTTCTTTGTCCATAATATCCTGTCATGTCATGGGATGTGGACCCACTTACTTTCCCCCTATTTCTTCCCATCCTTTGAACATCAAAGGGGAGTTTTTAAGTAGATTTATTTGCTAAAATGTCGATAAGAAATGTGTTAAATTTATTTTGAGATGAATGAAGTTAGTTTGGAAATGATTCCTGGGAATATTTGAACAGACGAAGTTGTTTTTTTTTTTTTGGCTTTTCTTATGCACAAAAATTGACTGCTCAGTATTTTAAGTGGAGTAGAATCCAAATCTTGTTTTCCAATTGTAAACCCAGAAAAAAATTTATTTTATTTGAACGCCTACATTTGTTTTTTTGTTTTTTTGGTTTTTGGTGAAATTTCAGTTGAGGCTTCCTCAGCGCTTCTTCCAAAATCTACCTATGGGGCAGAACCATGAATCGTATATGGGGCTTAGATTCTTTGGATCCTTGTTGCTAAGTTTGATGCCTTCTTTTAAATTGTTATCTATCTGAAAATATCATGTCAAATTGAAAGTGTCAAAACTCCATACAGAGTTTTACTAAAAATCGTACTTAGTCACATGCTAATTTTAGTTGTAGATCTGCAACACTGAAGTCGGAAACTCTTAGCACTTCTTTATTAGATTTGAAAGTCACCTTTTCCAGTAGTGTTGAACAAAGATGAGTATACTGTTATATGTTGCTCATTGACTTGTTGATTTTCTTAGAGTCATCATGTGCCAAAGTCTAGATCAGATGGTTTCAAAGCAAGTTCGAATGTCTTTTCCTTGCCGCCTCTAAGCTTTGGGGAGAGATTTGAAGATGCATATGAAGTGATCTTGATTTTGGATGATCGAGAGCAATTTGCCACTCGGGGGTCAGTCACTTATGATTTTTCTTCTGCCATATTTCTTTTCATGTTGAAGCTAGTGAAATATACTAGGTTTTCTTTCTTGACATCAAAGAGTTTTGTGGTTAAGTGATAATTATTTCAAAATGAAAGACAGAGCAATACTTTATCAAATTAATTTAAAGAATTTACGAATAAAAAGAGAAGAATCAAAGACTGGGAGAAACCTTGGTTGCCTTTGTTCAATGTATTTATACTTCCCTACATAGGCTCTACAGGGAAAACATGAAACATAAAACACGGATGAGGAATAAACCAAAGAACTCGTTTGGGCTTTTTCTGTGGCCATTTTATGAAAACAAAAGAAACACAAAAACAAATGGTAAGAGAAGATGAAAGTTGAGCAGAATTAAAACAAAATTCTTCCCCAATCATCTCCTCAGATCATCCCCCAGCCCTCTTCCCACCCTCTCCCCTGCGACCTTCCCCAAACCTAGTCCCACCACCTCAATTGCTCAAAGGGGGGGAGATCAACGAGAGAGAAGAGAGAGGGGCGGTTGTGAGTGAGAGCACCTTTCCCTGTGTCCATTTCCTGAATTTTTTAGATTTGTCATGTCATCATTTCTGTGTTGTGTTGTAACTGGTCTCCCTTGTATGTACTCTTCATGTTGGATACTTGCATTTGTACTATGTTCAATACCAGTGTTTACTCCTATTCTTTGCCCATTGGTTTGCTAGTGTTCATAAAACTGTGATTAATTTTGTATATATTGTGTTTAGATCACGGCCTGGGAGAATAATTGAGAATGTTCGTACTCAATTCAAAATCAAAATAGAGGTCAGTTCTCGAAGTTGTTCATGTGCTAGTTCTTCTAATACTTTATTTGAACATTAATTAGAATTTGTACCGTCGAGTATCCTTTTTATATGTTTTACTTTGTATCGGTTTCGCAAAACATGACAACTTTTGGTTTTGCTTTTTGTTACTTTTTGTGTGTTTGTATAGCGTTGACATATTTTGCTACTTCATGATTGAGTCAGCTGAAACTTTTAAATACAATGAGGAATCTTTTCATGTATCCCTCTTCAGTTATGAGCTAGTTTTTTATGTAATGGCACAGTGAATTCTGTGAAGCTAAGATAATAGCCTTTTTCTGAAAAGTATATACCTGTGGAATTGTCAGTAATATTATTGCAAGTGTGTTATTTTTATGCATTCATCTTTGTTTTGCTTGTTACCTTTTCGGTTTGTTCACACATCAATGCTGTGTTACATAAAAACGTTACCGTGAATTTAGCGTACGCATTTTTGAGAACCTAAGACATTGTAACCAGGGCTTATTTTGGCCTTTTCCCTATCCTCTATAAAGCAAGAAACCTACCATGGGATTTTGGTTTCCCCTGTATGAAGGACTCAACTGAGTTGACCCATTCATACTTGGATAAGTAGGGCTTCAGCTAGTCAGTTTCACTTTCACCTCACTGGGACATCTTAGTAGTTTAAGAAGGCCGCATGTCTCCTCAGTGGTCCTATTCTTGCCTGGGATTTGCAAAATCTCTCCAGTTGCTTTGAGTCCTATAATTAAAATCCACATTTTTTATTATAAAAAAAAAAAAAAACCCTAAACCCTAAACCCTT